TATAAAATATATACTTACTATTTATATCTTATATCTAGCTATTAAGTTATTTAATAACTTAATTATATAGTTTTATATTCTTTAGTAACTTATTTCTATAGATTATATTATTATTATTATTATTTAATCCTAAGTGCTTAATAGCTCTTATAATAAGTATTTAATTATTTTTTAATTTATTAACCTTATCTTTAACTTTATTATAATATTATAAAAAATCCTTTTTAGTTATATTATCTATATTTAAATATTTATTAATAATATCTTTAATTTTATTAATCTAAATAGGGAGTTTATCCTTTACTTTATAAGAATAATAATTATAATATAAGGTCCTATATAAGTTCTAATATAAAGATTAGTAGTATTATAGCTTTTAATAAGATCTTAAATAAATTCTTTAATTATTAAATAATCTAAATAATATATCTTAATTAATTTCTTAAAGTTATAAGAGGTCTAATAAATATCTATTTTTTTAATATTTATTAAGATAATATAATAAAAATTATTTATATATATCTATAGTAATATAAATATCTTAATTTTATTTTAAATATTCTTATTAATTAATAATACTAGCTAGAGCTTTATATATTATAATATATAATTTTATTTATTAAATTTATAAGAATTCTCTACTAGTTTAGATATATTTTTATAAATAATATTCTTTAAATTATTAATTTTAAGAACTTATTAGATATAGTCTTCTTAATATTTAATATTCTCTTTATTTTATAACTTCTTAATAATATCTAGAATAAGCTAACTATCTATAATTTTAATTCCCTAATTAATATCTTTAATTATTAATATAACTACTATTTATTAAGTAAACCTTTAATTAGTTCTATCCTTATTATATAGGCCTATTAATATCTAATTTATTAATTAGATAGGTATAGATTTTTTAAATTTAATTATTATTAGTCTTTTTAAATATATTTAGCCCTAAGGGAACTATTTATATTATTTATATTACTTATATCACTTATTATTTTATAAATATTAATATTATTTAGATAAGATCTTAAATAAATAAGAATTTATTAAATATAGTATACTTTATCTTTTTAAATAATATACTATTATATTAGCCTAGTAGGCCTAAAAAAGAGAAGAGATAACTAATAGTTACTATTACTACTATAGCTTAGATATAAAGTAAATAATTATATAGTGTGGCCGCGCCAAATGAGGCGATGCTAAGCCTAATTAGGCATGCACCTCTAACAATAATCTTTTTTAATTTATAGTTTCTACTTTATTAATATTAATTAGTTATTAAATTTAAAATCCTTATTATTAATTAATATAAGAGAGTTAAGTAGTTTAATAAGGTACTTATATCTATAAACATTTAAGATTAAAGATCTTATTAATTAAGATAATATTATTAATAATATTATATATTAAAATTATATTAATTTTTATATATCTTTTCTTTATAATTATAAGTTTAATTTATATTTTCTTTAATTTTAATTAGGTCTTCTTTAGTTATTGATTTTTTTTAAGGCTTCAATTTTTTTAAGGCTAATATAGCCTTAACTTTAATATAAAGCTTCTTATTTATTATTTATGAATTATTTTTAATTATTAAATATAATATTATATTTAATAATATATCTAGATTATTTATATAAAAATTAAAAAAATATTTTTAATTATTAAATCCTTATTTTTATTAAGATAAGAGTCTTATATTATCTAGATAATATCTAAAGATTATAATTTAGTCTTGTTATATTTATATTATTAATATAATCTAGTAGTTAAACTATAATAATAGAATTACTATATAATTAAAGTATTATTTAACTACTTTTAATTATATAAGAAAGGGATTAATTAATTTTAATATTATATAATAACCCTAAATAAATAATTAATCAATTAGTAGCTTTAATGTTAGAATATTTAAATAAAGAGGGAAAAGAGGACAGCAAAGAGAGATATATTATAAAATATATTTAATATCTCTCTCCTTTTTCTTATACTAAACTAAAATTAGAATAATATCTTTATTTACTATGGTCTGCCTAATACGGCATCTAAACAACTAGACAACCTTACTGTCACCATTACAATATATTTAGTTCTTTACAATTTTTATAAATAATAATTAATTACTTAAGTCTCACTTTAATTTAATAGAGTTTTTAATTTGTTCTTATATATTGAAATAAGGGCCCTACTTCTTTTTTACTTAACTACCTGTACTTATTATTAAAAGAACTAGTATATAACTAATCTTACTTAAGTAAAGTATATCTAAGTCTAGTAGTTATTAATAACTAGACCAGGTCCCTAATCTTGTTCAAACTGGTCAGTGATATCTAGAGATCCCAGGGTTGTAACATATATCCAAGGGAGGTATTAGTAGGGTATAACCTTAGCCTTACTATATAGTTAGGATCACTATGATAGTCATTAATTATCTCCCAATATCGTAAACATTCCCTCAGTTACGCGTAATCACCTCCAACAGTTCCTCACCTAAAGTGGTTGAAATCCACAATTCCGCGAGGGCTGTATAGAAACTTTCGAAGTATGGTAATTACCATTTAGTTAGGTATCCTGTCTGGTCTATACCATCCACAGAGTACAATATAGATCCTATAATCCTTCCTTACTTTATCTAGTCCTGCCCTAGGACTTCTCCCACCATAAAGAATCATCCACATAGCACATACAATGCAAGCTCCAACTTTCTCTTCCCACACCACCTCAAGTTCATCTTTTCGCCAAGCAAATAGTAACAACAATCCCCAACATCATTCGTCCCTCCTTGAAGCTCGAGTGTCAGCGAAAAAAGCCGAACTTGACAATTTGAAAGAGCTACGAGACCTGAGTGATGCTCTCGCAACACAGATGCAGGTACTCGAAAACAAGCTAGTCACATTGAATGATGGTACCAAAGGTTAGCTTACTAGAAGAACCCGAAAATAACAATCGCGTCGCATATCTAATTCCCAGTAGCGGTTGCATATGTCCTAGCCAACTGGGAAAACGTTCTGCAGACCATCCATATGGCTTCCTGTAAGATTCAACCACTCCCGGCCCATTCACTTCATATTTCTTTTCCTTGTTTTTTCACGTTGAATCAAGAATACTGATATACTATTAATTTTAAATTTACATAAATAGCGATACTTGCAAAGAAAAGTTCACCAGCTGAAGGTGGCCCAGTTTCAAAACAGACAGAATCTCCTCAACCCCTCACTTCTTTGCCTGCCACCCTTGTTCGAGTTCCCATAGAACATGTTGAAAACATATCTAATTGATATTTAAACAAAACCCTTAAACACTTGCCTAATTATCATAATAGAAACACTGTTTATGGCGTCTAGTAAGTATGAGGTGAGAATGGTATGTCACATTTTATATAATTCAGAGTTCTTTAAGTATAGTATCTACCTAATACCAAAAATTTGAATATGTAAATAAATATAGTTCTTTGATGTTATCAGTGTTAGTGATCTATAAGTATAATAATATAATTAAATATAATTGTCACGGCTCTAGGCCTGCTGCCCAGTCACTAGTCAGGTGGTGTGTCAGGTGACTCCTGATATATATCATGTCGCAGAAAAGGATGATCTTGAAGCTGCTAATTAAGATGGTTTATATATTTATACTATCACCTAGCTAGCTAAGCATAATATAATTAGCTTTATATACTAATTTTTATTTAATTAATATATATAGCCTAATTAACTCTAATTTATTATTTTATTTCTAAACTTTAAGACCCTACTAAAGATATAAAATTACTATATTAATTTTACTACTAAATTGAAATAAAAATTATAAACTTATACTATATATATAGACTATTAATATACTAATAAATTAAAGATAATAAGTGTTCCAAATAGAATAATAAATAGTATAAAGATATTGATTTGATTAAGGAATAGTATAGATTGGTATTTCTAATATAAAGCCTTATATATAATATTCAGGATCATTTGAATTTAAATAATAATATAAAACTAGAGCTACCAATAGCTCTAAATATTATAAATTATAATAAGAAAATAAGATTACTTAAGGATCTAGATAAATAATAACTAATTATATATATTAGAGTAAATAAAAAGTATTATTATAAGTAAAAAATATATAAATAATTAAAAATAAAGATCTCTTATATATTAAGCTATATATTTTAATTTATATAAATAAATATCTTAATTATTATAACTAATAATAATATTATAAAGAGAATAATTTAATAGTAATAAATATAATTAGTATTAATAAATATTTATTATAAGATTAAGCTAGTAAATTAATAAAAAATATTTATAATAAATATATTATAAAGATGAATCTAGATAAATAGTTAATTAGCTAGAAATCTATATATTATAATTATTAGACTGGCTAAACCCAACCCGCGGGTCGGGTTTAGGGCACTAGATTCCTTACCCGCCAGGTTTCCGGGTATGCCTAGGGTAAACCCATACCCACCCATGGGTATGGCGGGTTTTAATTGGGTAACCTGTGGATACCCAGCATATGATTTTATATACCTTAGATTACCTAAATAAGCTAACCATCTTCCTAATAGGGCTAGGCTTAGAAATCTATATATTTATTATTAATAAAAAAGTCAATATCTAAAGATTTAATTAGTTTAAAACTAGTCATATGAGAAACCCTAAACCCAACGGGTATACCTATATCTAATAGGTGAGTATGACACCTAATGGGTATATCTATAGGTTCTAATTAGTAAACCTATACCTGACCCAGGCGCAGGTTGGTTCAGGTTGGGTCAGGTTCTCTGGGTTAGGTATAGCCAGTCTAGTACTATAAGCTATATAAAAAAAGATAAAGATAAATAAGAGCTATAAAGAGTTAATTAAGCTTTTAAATATTAAGATTCCCCTTATAAGCCACTTATAAAGCTAAACTTTTTTTAAAAAAGAAGTAAAAATAAGAAAAATGAGTTAAAAACCTTTATTCTATTATTATAATTAGTTATAAATATAACTTATTAAGATATTATCTTATAAATAAAAATATATCAAAGTAAAAGTAAAGATATATTAAGGATAAGAAAAAGAGATAAAGAGAAAAGCTAAAAAAATATATATTTTATAATAAAGGCTCTTATTATCTTAACCTTATCTAAATATATATTTATTATAAGAAAAGATATCTTTATAAAATTAAGATATATTAGTAAATAAAGGACTTATAGCTACCTTGGGGATAAGATAAGTAAATATAAAAGAATAATAAAGAGTATATAATACTATTTATAAAGAAGATAAACTATAGTCTATAAAAATAAAAAAAAAATAAAGTATAAATAAGATTATAAGGACTTAAAAATAAGAGAATAAAGAGAAAGATTATAGAATAATAGTAAGCTATATCTTTTTTTTACCAGAGTTTTTAATAAAAATTATTATTTATAGTATCTAGGCCTTAAGGGACTAAGATCTAAAAAAAGAGAGATAATTATAAGATTTATAACTATAAATTAAGAGTTATATAATAAAATAAACTCTTTATTTTTAAGTTTTTATAAAGCTAAGGAAACTTAATAATAATCTTATTATTAAATAGGATATATTATTTATAAATACTATTATATTATCTCTTTCACACTATACTTATTACTATCCTCACCTATTCTTATATATTATTAAGCACTTTTATAAATTAGTTAACCTCTTTATTTAATATTAATTAAAGTATATAATAGTAGAAAAAGAGATTATTTAGTTATTAATTATTAATTATTAATTATTTAATCTTTTTTTAATATAGATTAGTATAGCTACTTTTTAAAGATTAAATAGTTTTTTAAATATAATATACTTTACTTTATCTAAAGGCTTTATTAGACTATTAATAAAGTTTATATAATTCTTTATTTATTTAATCTTAATTAGTCTCTTATTAATTATATTATAAATAAAAAAGTAATAATTATTAAATTATTAATTTATTATATTAAATTTATTCTTTTTAAGAATATCTATAATATTAAATAGGTTAATATAAATAAAAATAAGGCCTTTTTTTAATCTTTATAGTAATAATTATTTTCTTTAGCTATATAGACTTTTTAATTATCTATAATAAAGTAGAGAATTTAATAATAATACTTAATATAATTATAAATAGTTATTTATATAAAGTCTATAAGATTAAGATATCTATAAATATTATAATATATATTTTTATTAACTTGGTATTATTATTATTTATATAATTAATATTAATATAAATAATTAAGCCTTTATATAGTCTATATTTTAAAATAATATTATTATTCTTATAATATTTTAAATATAATAGAAGCTGTTTAACAGCTATAATATTAATTTTTATTAATAATATAAATTAATATTAAAAATAAATAATTATATATATAATATTTATATATATTTTTATAGTTAACTAATTATTTTAATTTATATCTTTTCAATATTAAGAGAGATATATAAAAGAGGATATGTCCTTAAAGAGCTTTAACTTTAAATATTATTAATATAATTATATATTAAATAATATCTTAAAAACTTCAATAATTTATTAATAATCTTAAGAAAATAATCTTATTTAATTAATTCTTAATATTATTAACTTTTTCTTTAGTTAACATAATAATATAATATTATAATATTATTAATTATTACAGCCTATTATATAATGATTATTATGAATAACTTAATAAACTTTATATTTAATAATAAAGTTATTAATATTTATCTTAAATATAAAGACTTATTAAGGATTAAGAATATATCTATAGCTTTATTGATTATTATTTAAATATCTTTAGCTTTGAGCTTTATAATTCTATCTTTAATAGTATTTATTTAAACATTTTTTAAGGAGATATTATAGCTTATTTCTATAACTTAAAGAGTATAATATTATTTATTTTAAGTCTTAAAATTAATATTACTATAAAGTATCTCTTTAAGGGTTCTTTAAGATATATTATAAATATTATAAATATTATATTCAATAAATAATTTATCTTTATTAACTCTAGGTAATATATAAAATATAATAAATATATTGAATTTCTTAAACTAAGTATAATTAATTATCTAAATAATATTGTAATAAATAAGATTAAAAGATAAAGATAAATATTTTTAGTTATTAACATAGCTACTACTTACTAAGTAACTCTTTAATTAATTCTATCCCTATTATATAGGCCTATTAATATTTAATTTATTAAATAAGTAAATACAGATTTTAAAATATATTAAGCCTAAAAGAAACTATCTATATTACTTATGTTATTTATTACTTTATAGATATTAACATTATTTAAATAGACCTTAAATAAATAAGAATTTATTAAATATAGTATACTTTATTATTTAAAGTAATATACTATTATATTAGCCTAGTAAGCTTAAAAAGAGAAGAGATAATTAATAATTATTATTATTATAATAGTTTAGATATAAAGTAAGTAATTATATAGTATAACTGTATTAAATAAGGCGTTGCTAAGCCTAATCAGGCATGCACCTCTAATATTGTACCTATTTTCTTAAAATAACTTAATTCATCTATATATTTTCAAGGTATTATATAGTTTTAATAAATAGAGATTCTTATTAAAAGAAAATGATATAAAAATATATTTTTATAAATATATTGTCAGAGGTGCGTGCCCGATTAGGCCTAGCGTCGCCTCATTTGGCGCGGCCGCACCGTACAACCACCTGCTTCGCGTCCGAGCCTGTGGCAGCGTGGGTGCGTAATGCGAGGGAATCATGGTTCTTCTATTGGGGTTCCTTGGTAGGAGGAGACTTAAAGACTATCTGGACTTACTGACTAATCTGATGAGTCATCTAGACACAACAGAGCCGTAGCAGCGATAGCAACCATCAGCCATCTCTTCCCTTTCTAGGCCTGCTTGGCCAACATATATTCTTAATGAATACTATTTTATTAATAAGATATATAAATCTCAATTAAATGAATTATTAATGATATGAAAGCCTCCTAACCTAACATAATTATCTTAATATTAAATAATGTTGGAGGTGTCTGCCTAGTTAGGCCTAGCGCCATCCTGCTTACCTTTTCTCTCTCGCCTGCGCGCATCCTAGATAGCTTCACCACTATCATCTATCTACACATATCTCTTCCGCTTTCTCCAGGCCATCTGTGCCTGACAAATAATATTGAAATATTAAAATCAAATATTATATAATCCTACATAATCCCCATTTTCAAGTCTTTTGCTAAATTGATAACTTATATAACATTATTAATCACTCATTTACTAATTATACTTACTTATTTTAGTACTCTTACTTATATACTTATCCTTTTTAGATTTAATATATATACTATATAGTACAAATATTATATATTTAATGAATAATATTAGTATTACATATCTCTTCTTTCTTTATATAAAGTT